CGAATACTTGATCTGCGCTTGAACAGCGCGAAATCTCGACTAGCGTATCCTCGAAGGAGCTGCTAATCTCGACCTCGCAGCGACACGATGATCCACGATGGATTAATACGACACGCCATCGTCTCGTCCATCCTCCCTGCTCGCGAGAAAATTCCGCTTAATTCCCGCCTCGTGGCGGGGGAAAAAAGCAGGGGGTGGAGCGAGAACAAGGGGAAAAAGGGGGGATGGACGCCACGAAGGAATGGACGAGGCGAGCCACTGTGCCAGCTACAGGTACTAATTGCTTTAACGAGCAAGTGGGCGCGGCCGTTCCTATAAAATTTCATTGTGAACGGGCGAGGAAGCCAGCTGGAAGCCGGGCCAGTGAGTAAAAGATGGCCACGTGGTCGTGGGTGAAAAGGTGAAGAATGAAAGGGGACGAGGAAGGAAAAGGAAGAAAGGCTAAGGCGAAAAAGGATTGTTCCAACATCCGTAACTATCAGGTATTTCGAAGATCGATTCTGATGGGTTCACTGTTCCCTATTCGGTGGAAAGAAGTCTCGTCGATGAATATTTTCTCTTCTCTCTGATCCAAACCAATGATCGTACAATTCAGAGAATTCTAACGCATCGATGTGGTACGAAAATTTCTTTCATCTCTCGTAATAGGCTAATTCGTGACGATTTTAAGTTTAATTTATAAATGTAGTTTCGTATTTCGAGCAGTTAATAATGATTGTACGAATAGGCTTGGATGAAAATAATTTTTAACGATTCGGAATCGTTATTCAGATTACAGCTCTTCCACTGCTATGTCACGATCGACAACAGTAAATTTATCGTTAATAATGCGTTCGATTTTGAAGTTCTGTTTCGCTGAAGAAGAAGATCCAAAATTTTCAACGCTCCTAAGGATATTTTTTGCGATTTCGATCCCCACAACCGACGTGGAGGGAAGGAATTTTCCATGCTTCCAGTCAACCATCCACGCCTTTCAACCGTCAATCAAACAGAGTTAACCTGGGTTAGGGCTCTCCCTTAAATCTGTTTCGTCCCCGAGCTCTATCGAAATCTGGTCGTCGAAGCGCAGGCTGCATCATTATTATTATTATTAGCGCGTTGGAAAGAGAGGATGACCTAGCCGGCTTCTTCTCTCCGTCAAAATTTAATTTCTTCCTTTTTTTTTTTCATTCTATCGCCGCGTTGTCCGGTTTCCCTTTCAACACCTGACCTGTACTCTGCGTCTCATCCCGTTGTTCTCATCTCTTCGAAACCCCGGCCACGTTTCGTATCGGCCAATTTTTCATCAGTTCCACTCCCTTTTGCCCGTTTTCGTTATTCTTCGCCACCCATTTAACCCAAACGTTTAGTCTCTCGCGTGTTGTTTCCTCTCTGCGTCTATTTTTTCAATTCGTCAAACTTCACATCTCGTCCTTTACTTTCGAGGTTTTAATTCATTTTAATTCAATTCAATTCAGAAATTTCTGACTTGAGGGTTATCCGTGTCCCCTTTTTCTTCCAAATTCAAGATTTTATCA